CCCTCGGTTGGTTAAGATCAAGAGGAAATTTTCTCACATGGACAACTATAAAGTTCTTGAGAGGTCAGTGAGGACATCATGTGACTTTTGCATCTGTGACCCCCAGCAATAATATGTGTCTATGAAGATAGCTGACTAATGAGAACTGATATGGTCATCACTCCACTGGTATTTTTTGAACACTGGAGCTCTGAGAATTTTAGGGCCATGTATCATCCTGCGATATCCATCACAAGACAACACAAACAATAAAGCTACTACTTGGAAAAGGGGCAAGCCATGAATACTCAGGTTAGCATATACTGAAGTCAGGGTGCCCGAAGACTAGTCTCAATGAACCAAATGATATTTTCCTATTAAACTGAACTTGTGAGATGAGAAGGTGACAGAAGTTTTTATCTACTCACCCATATTGCACATACCAGTGTCATTATTTTGATTTTGCTTGCAGTGTTAAGCTCTGAGCACCCTTGACTCTGGTGCTTCTACAAGACTGATTGGAATCAAGTCACCAAATGTTCACTAAAAGGAAATCTTCCTATGTTCCTTGAAGCTTTTTAAATTAAAAAAATGAAAAAGAACAATGAACACCCAAATTTATTGCATTTATGACTGTAGCAACACAGCCTAATTATCTACACACCCAACATTTTTCAGAAACTTATGATGCTCTCACAAAGTTACAAGAAGGAAATTGAGTGTGTAGGTAATATTTAGGAAGATATAGCACATTGTCAAAGGAACTCCATGGGTTTTGAGAAAGAGTATTGTCTTGAACAGAATTTAATTGGCCCACAAAACAGATACAACTTCAAATGATTATCTTTAGAATCCAAGTTGTGGACGATGAGGTATAGGAAAAGACATCTAGTTATGTCTTCCTTGGTATGTCTAGAATTGTGCAGTTAAGGCAACTAAGCTGAGTGTCTCTCTCAGCTGAGATGGACGGATCAAGAGAAGGTTCGAAGAAAATGAGCTGCCAACTGCATCTGAGATGTCTCAGTTAGTCAAACTGAGGCTTTAGGGGAATTGCTTCAGAGCACTAGCAAAGCTAATGAACCAAAGCAGCAAGATACTCCCTCAAATATATGGCTGTTTGTAGGGTTACACACAAATGGATCAATTCCCACCCCCCACACACATGTGGAGAAACCTCTTATGTGAGTAGGAGAGGTCATCATGGGGTGTGTAAAATGTAAAGCCCTGTTATCCTTAAAATCCTTTGACTTAACTGTAATGACTTCAGAGCCTTCTGTTAATCTAGTCATGCTTCATTCCCCCAGTATATTAATCTTCCGATGCTTCTCTTTCCCATTCTGTGCATTGATAAGACTCAGAGAAGTGAGTGCTAAAGTTTTGTCTTCTGCCGACTGTGAGCCCTTCTTACCAATTAGAACTTATTTAAGTAGATGATTGCTGATAGATAAATGGAACACTAATGTGTGAAGTAAACAAGGCTTTTATGCTCTTTCATATGTTTGTGCCTTTGTAGATGTGCTCAAAGCACATCAATATGAAATTGTAATCAATAAATATCTAACAGTTGCTTTTCTAAAAAAAGCAAGCTAACCAGATTAGCAGTACGACAAATGCCAAAGGAAAAACAAAAGAAAAAATAAACAAGTTCTAACTCAATCAATCTTGTAACTTATGTGTCACAAGAAGCTAAATATATGAGAATGTATGACTGAGAAGAAGACGCCTTCTTGATATGTTTTTTGTAGGTTGAGGGTCTAATTTTATCTCATCTTTGAGAATCTTCATATCTTAAGGAAAGCAGTCAATAATTAAACAGAGAGATACCTGTTTGCCTGACAGCTCCCATATTTTAAAAGACAAATAAGATTTTCCTTCAAGAGAAAATGTATTTTCATGACATATATGGAGATAAATTCTCTTGCTTTAAAACAGTGCATCTGACAGTAATTAAGCCTCTATTAAGTCTGTTGTTTATTTTTAAGTTCAAATTTATTTAACAGCCATTAAAATCTCAGTGTTTGCATTTGCCTGTAGTGAAATCCTTCTGTGTGCTTTTCCATGGTTCACAGCAGGCAGTCATGCCTAATCATAATGGCATGTTAATATTACAGGAGACTAAGAGTCAGAGAAAACAAGATAGGAGACACTGTTTTCAAAGCAACCCTTACCGTGAATTGAAGGTTTTTATCATTTCTGATTTAAAAACAAGTGAATTTTAATTAGCTTTATGTATGTTTAGGATGCCGCTTTTTCTCCAAGGCCAAATGGAATAAAGTGTATCCTCAGTTTGGTGGTAACTGAATGCAGACAAATTGAAAATTGGATAGGCTGTAAAGTAAGGGGGCCTGCACTATGGCATCAAGTACACTTGTTTCTATTTGCAAAGTTATTTCCTTATTACCAAATTATCCCCCATAGTCTGCTAAAACACAAGAGTCCTAAAAGTGCAATAAAAGCTCAACGTGATTCAGAGGTCTAAAACAACAACAACAAGAGGACAACAACAGCAAAAGGATAGTGTGTGTTTCTTGTGTTAAGTAATGTTAATAAACACCTTTCAGACAAGTTATCTGAAATAGTATTCAGCAGAATGTTTAATTGGTGCCTTTGGAGACTATCATTTTAATATTGCCACTTGTTTCTGCCCTAACACAGTACCAGGAGACTAATGATGATTATGACGATGGTGATGATGATGGCGATGATGACGATGATGACAATAATAATCATATGGAGACCTAGTAGAGAAGCTGTTAAAGATTATACATGTGAGAGTGTCTGTTTTTGAACACAAGGAACAGGATTGGACAACAGTGTGAGCAGGTTTCCAGCTGACTTTACTCTAAGAAGGGATGTGGAACCTCAACTTCCTATATATTTATGCAGTGTGCTCACTATAGAGAGGAGGGCTAATACCAATAGATTTTTCTCAAAAGAGAAGCAGAAAATACCAATTATATTTAAAAATCATAACGTTGCAAGCTCTGAAGACTGGAAAAACTGGAAGAATGGGATGTAAGCCTTGACACAAAACAAAGTCATATTAAAGGAGATTTAATTATTCCAGATAAAGAAATACAAGTAATACTACCTCCATAAAATAATACATTCTGAACAGAAGCAAAGCAGATGGCTGTCATGTATTCATAACTTGTCTATGATGTTAACCATCTCCCAGTGAGCAAGTACCAGGTACCTCTAGTCAGTGTGATCTTCCTGAATCAACTTGTATGCAGACTTATTGATACAAAGATTTCTCTGTGTTAGTTACTTGTTTTCTGATATTGCATTTGTTGTTTTTGAAGACTCCTTTCACTAGTATCTTTTAAGACAGATATTTGTGTAAAGGAATCGTTTTATTATTTTAGTGAATCATAGTTTAATGATTGCTCAAAGGACATATGCTGTAGGTTTACAGATAGCTTTCTAAATCAAAAAGAGCTTCATAACGCAATGATTTTATTGCTTCAATTGTGCTCAGCATTATAAACAATTAACACAATACTCTGTCATTTCAATTTTATATAAATGGGATTTTACTATATTAGAAGTCTGTACTTACTTTCTTGTCATTGAAATTTCCTAGAATTATTAAAAACCAAAGTAATTTTTCTCTGTTTAGAATGTAAGAAAACTAAAATTTTCAGAAAAATTGACTATTATATCTTACGAAAAGCAGAATATTGGTGCACTGCTATAAATATTACCAGTAGTTTGCAGAAAGAGTATATTTAAGATAAAGAGGTGAAGAGTTAAAATTGTGCTATTTATCCACTGCATTTGCTATAGATTGAAAGGGATTTGTAAGTCAAAAGAAGTGAAATGAAGGCAAGAAAAGGTCAAAGAAAGTAACCAAGACCGAATGCAGAATAGGTAAACGTGTCCCTAGGGAAAAGCACAACAAGAAAGGTCTACAGATTATGGTGTATGACTCCATCTGTATATAGAGAATTTGGTGCCAAGTTCTGTCTTTGTGCTGTGATTTAAGAGATCAGAATGAAGAATCTTCCACTATGAATATGGGCTTAAATGCTTCATCTTTCAATTAAGTATAGCATTGATTGTATAGCCTGAAATAGTTGTGTCTCAAAGGGATTTGCTTGGCACAATAGTCATGTTTCAAGTGAGTGAGGTCCTTCCCAAGCTCCTATGCATACATCAGAGGACAGGTATTTCTAAAAAGCTGATCTAAGTGCAGCAGGGTGAAGTCAGCTCAACATGAGATGAAATCTTTTACATTAAAAAAATGGATAATAGAAAAATGAGCAAAAAGAAAGCTTTTACAATGTTGTCATTTGTAGCTTATAATTTTATCCTTGCCTTGTTTAAATTAAGTGCAAACATTGATGTTTTTTATCCACATTGTTTTCCAAAGTCCTATCTTTTTTATCATCCCAGATATATTTATGCCATGCAATGGTAGGTAAGAATGCTATGGCACCTTTCACAAGTATTTTCTCAATGGTTTCATGAAAACCTTACTTCCCCCCCAAGATAACTAATGTTTTCCTGGCTTTTTGATGTTACTTGATCTCTATTCATGCTCGTGATCTATGCATGGAAATTCCATTTATGTGCAATTGGATCATCTTATGAGTTGTTTTTCTGCTGCTGTGGTGAAACACCATGATCACAGCATCTCATGCACAAGCGTTCACAAGAAGGAATATACGTCTTGGCAGAAAGACATTCTAACAACGAGCAGCAGGCATGGTGGAGTGAACCATAACCAGTAGCTCATTTCTTGAATTGCACAAAGCAAAACAAAGAGCCTGGAAGTAGGTCCATCAGGAATGCATTTACTCTAGCAAATGTATACTGTCCGCACCCCTCTGACTAGTGTCACCAGGTAGAGACGAAGTCCTTCAAAGCCCAAGATGATGAGGGAGGGGCATTTCTTGTCCAAACCTCGACCAGCAGTAAGAAGAATGTTGCTTTGGACAATAAAAAAATTGTGCACAAAACGTTTTTGTTTACAGTCCTTTCCAGGATGTTTCATGATATCTTTTCCCTTTGCACAGAGATCTGCAACCAAAAACCAAGCCGAGCTCCAGGAATCCAGATGAAGAGAAGGAGGAAGGAATATATGAGCAAGGGAGGTCAATATCATGATGCAGAAATCAACAGAGACAACTGAACCTAGCTTGTGGAAACTCATGAATGCTAGACTGACAGTTGCAGAGACCCGAGGGGACCGAACAAGGCCCTTGATATGTGGGAGACAGTTGTGAAGTTTGGACTAGCTGAAGCAGCCCTGGCAGTAGGACCATATACAAACCTGGTGCCTGAGTCAGCTTGTTGGAGCCCATTCCCCATGTTGGGATGCCATGCTCAGCGTTAAGGTAAGGGAGAGCAACCTGGCCCTGCCCCAACTTACTGTGCCAGACTATGTTGACTCCTCAGGGGAGCCTTCACAAGTGAGGAGGAGTGGATTGGGGATGGACTGAGGAGAGGAGGAGGACAGGAGGATGTATGGGAGAGAGAATTATGGTTGAATTGTAAACTGAAATTTAAAAAGGAACTAATCAACTTATCAATGTTTTTGTCAGTGTTTTTTAAAATGAGTCTTTCAAGTAATACTGATGAAAATAAAGAATAAACTTATATTCATCCAGTGTTTTGTATTATCAACATTGTTTTATTTTTCATAGTTTCTTTAGACAGTTCTTAGCACACAATAATGAAGATGAGTATAATTGTATTCATTTAAAAACAGAAAAACTGCATGTAGAAGAAATTAAAGAGAAATTTGAGCAGACAATTTGGTGAAACTGTGTGTAAACTGGTAATAAATATCTATTATACCTGTAGAATAAATACCGGGAAGTATAAAACCATCTCCCAATCCCCTAATTCTTTCCATTAAGGTTGTATAGAAAGAAACTTTTTTTGGTTGTGAGCCTAGCCTTTAACGGCTGAGCTGTCATTAGTATAAAAGCATTAAGCAGAAATGTTGATGCATGCTCCAAAACACCAGCAAAGAGATTATAAAAACAAAATGAGTGTTACCTTCTAACGTAGCCAAGTGTGTCAGTGGCATATTCCCACATGTTTGGCAGATAAATAAAACAGTTCATAAATAAGTATGCTAACTTGAATGGGATGGGACCTCATAGGCATATACGATTGAATGCTTTGTTCCGAGTTGGTAGAAATGTTAAGGAAGGTTTAGGAGGTATGCTGGAAGAGGTGTATCACTGGGCATCGTCTTTGGGGTTTCATAAGCTCATGCCAAGCCCAGTAAATTTGGCTCAACCATCAACTACCTAATCAGGTTGTAAGATCATAACTACATCCCCAGTGCCATGCCTGCCTGCCTGCCCCATCTTCCTCTCAAGGAGGTTCATGACTCACCCTTTGCTTTAAGTATGAACACAATAAATACTTTCTTTTAGAATTTGCATTGTTTAGTGTGTCTCTTCACAATAGATCCTAAATCAGACAGCTGAGCAACACCTTTGGAACTGCAGGCAAGGTACTTAGCAAAAGTTCAGCTCATCCTGTCCAATAGACAGTGGCAGATGCAGCTTCACCCTCTGTGAAGTTTGCCAGGGAGCAATGTTCCTATTGTCTTCAGAAAGACATTTCTAAGTTCTGAGGCTGATAAACAGATAAAGGCCAATCTATTCGTTGCGCTGATTGATATACCTTTTCAGGACGTAGCACAGGGAATAGGCTTCCAAGAGCTAGCTATAGCTAAAGTGTTTCATTTTTAACTAACAAACTTCCAACTAGATAGACTTTTATTGAGCATGTTTACTGGCCTCTGGCTCTTCTGCCCCCTATCAATCTGCAATAGATGAAACAAGCAAAAACATTATTTGGTGAAGAGTGTGCCCATTGTTGCCTGGCTTAGGCTCAAGGACTCCCCTGATGGTTTGAACAAATGTTCCTTACACTCTATGACTGAAGAGGAGCTTCCAAAACTGACTTTTCTCTTCCTATCATGGAATGGATTCAGCTTTATATAGAGTTTTGAAGATGACTTCAGTCTTAATTAGCTCCATACTCATAATTTACTATCTGGAATTTACCGTAGTAAATTCCTATTGTGTTTAGTAACATTTTGGTAATTTTTCTTAGAAAACCTGGATTGACATACTGCAGGTTAGGCTACTACTATATTGTTCTGTTACCATGGTACCAATGCAAATCCAGACTGAAAGTAACACTCTCTAATACATCATTACAGTTGATTTTTTCTTTTTTGTTTTTATTTGAGAGTTTTTTAAAATTTCATTTTACATTCCAACCAAAGTTCTCTCTCCTCTCTTCCTGCACTCCCTTGCTTCCCCTCTAGTCCACTGCCATTCACTCCTCCCAACAGGTAAGGTCTTCCATGATGCATTAAGTTGTGGCAGGACAAAGTCCCTCCCCCACTGCATTAAGGTTGAGCAAGGCATTTCCTCATAGGGAAAGGGCTCCAACAATCTAGCTCATGCACCAAGAATATATCCTGGTCCTTTTGCCAGGGGCCTTCAGATAATCCAAGCTTCACAACTGTCTTCCACATACAGAGGAACTAGTTCAGTCTCATGGAAGCTCTACAGCTAAATTTTATACAAAATTCTTTACTTACACCTTGCAAGATAGCACAGAACAGGAGTAATATCATTTATAGCAACTGCTTACATTTTATTTTCTGGAGCTGAACTCACAGATGTCCACTATCTGAATTGACAGAAGAGGCTATTTCATTTTGCCATAGTCAGAAAGACATTTAGTGTTCTAAGGGACAGTGCTTGGCTTGTTCTATACAATACACACCCTAAGTTTTCATTGTGAAGAACTTGCTTACTCCACTGGAAATTTAGAAAGTTTGCACATAAAGAGAGGTTCTAGTGTTTGATCAGAAGTGAATAAGCTTAAGGACAACCATTCCTCAATCATCTATAATATCGAATGCTGTTTCCCAGCTAGAATTCACAAGCTGGGAAAGGGATTCTGAGAGAAAAACAAAAGTGCTTCAGAATTTAATGATGTTGTTTTGCAAATTTTAAGTAATTACCAGAAACATACACACTTAATGGTATTGTAGAATAGGTAGAATATAATAAATTTGCTGGATACAGATTCTCAGGTGTCATTTGACAACACAATCTCCCCCATGTGACTGAATTATTCCTTATCCTCTGTCCTCTAATTGTGTTCTATGTAAAACAGCAGTACTCAGAAATCCTCTTACCTAATTATAGGTTGAATGTGCAAGATCATGTACATAGTGGTTTCTATATAATCCTAGAATAATACTTATCATTCCATTTTCTTTACATTCCATCTTATCATTCTTATCATTGCATTTCCTAGATAATAAGGAATTAAGAGAAGGAAATGGTTTTCATTTTATTCACAGAAATAAGTAAATAATAAGTAATCATTTGCAGAAATTTCTGTACTTCAAAGGCTATGACAAACTAATAACAGTGATGACAGAAATAAACATCACAGACATTATAAGTTAAGCACATATTTATTAGTTACTGTGTCCACATGCTGCCTATTCTTACCCCCACCAGGGTGGGGCTAATAATATTTACTTGTTCATCTTAGCAGTGAAGACAAGAGTAAATAAATAGGCTTAATTATGGATAAAATTATATATCTAGCAAGCAGCAAAGGCAAAATTCTAATAGAGTCTACCTCTTAATTGCTCTTTAATGTAATTCAGGTTTGTTATATTACTTTACAAAGAGCACAGAGTGGCTGGAGACTTAAAAACATCTACTGATCTTGAAGAGGACCAGGGTTTGTTCCCAGCACCCACATCAGGTTGCTCACAATTGCCCACACCTCCACTTTAAGAGATCTGATGCTTTCTTCTAGCCTCTGTCATCATCATTATGCATGTGTTGCATGTAAACAGGCAGAAAACCAGACACAAATAAAATAAAAAATCACTTTCCATGAATGCAGAAGTAAAACTGGGGCACAAGAGACAGAGAGGAGGAAGAAAAGTAGAAAAGATGAGCAGGGAGAAAAAAATGGACTGAAACACACTTTGTTCATAAAATGCCATAATGGCTTCTAACATCATGTATATTAACTTAAAAGTGAAAAGTTATGAATAGGAACATGAATAAATACACACTTGCTAGATAAAACAATGTGTCTATTTTCACAGTATACATTCTTTATAGGTGTGCTTGGTGATAATAATGGCTTCAGAATAATTTTAGTTTTGCAAAAGGCATTCCAGGTTTTTACAGGTATTATAATGTCAGGATTTCCAAAAGGCAAACTGAAATGTGGTGCACTGCTATCCCTTCTTTAATTGAGCTGCTAAAATATATATCATTTGAATGAAATTATAATGATTTCATTAACCCAATTTGCCCTTTTTCAAATATGAGGACTACAAATATGAAAGGAAATTAAAATTGCCCATTGCTTGAGGAAAGCAATCTTGTAAGATTGACCAGTCTGTTTACACACTTGTCTGACCACATCCCCACCCCCACAGAAAAGCTGTAGAAAGAGGATCACTACAAATATTTACTCTTCTATATAAAATCATAACACCTAGGCTCAAAATTACAGAGAATCTACTTTAAATATACAAGGTCTCAAGTTATATTTTATGATGATGTCTAATTTTAAAAATATGATAACACACATTGGCTTCATTTGTTTTGTAGGAGAAATGAATGCGTACAAACTCAGAGATTTTCTGTTATAAGCTTAAAATGCCCCCACAGATAACAAATCCTTCAACATGGGATGATTTTGCAGAATACGGCAAGAGACTATTAAGCACTCACAGGTGTACATGTTCATTGCCTGGACGCAGTACAAGCCAACTGCGCTGTAAACCAAAAGGATTTGCACATTTATGATTTTGTCATCTTCAAATTTGAAGAGGTATCAGTGACATATAGTTTTCATGAGGAAACATGAACTGTAAATGTAAGTGGATACTTGAAAAAAGAAAATAAACAATGAAAACAAAGTGTCCTACATACCCAGCCCTTCACTGTATAAGCAAGTCTTTCATTGTATCACTGTCTTCCCATGTCCCCCTCCTCTCTCCCTATTGGCCTGTCTCTCATTCTTTATCTCTCCGACACTCTCCCAAAATTGGTAGAAATAATTATAAAATTCATAGCAAATAAAAAGACCACAAACTTCACTTAATAATGGCACAGACACTCCTCTGGTGTAGTCCAATAGGTTTAGTCTATAAGTAAAGATTACCCTGACACCTATTTCTCAAATGATTTTCTTTCTAAATAGACTTGGTCTTTCTGCCAAATATGATGACCACAGTGTCAAGGAGGGTACATAATTATTTTTCCAGGACGTGGAGAATACATGTCCTACACAAATCTGCACTCCTCTGGATGTT